TGGGGGCAAATACCAGATGCGTTTTTTTTAAGTAAGTCCCGTTTTGACAGCAACTACATGACACCGATGGAAAACGTAAATGTGATTTTGTAGTATGTTTATGTGGTTTATTGGCTAGCTGTGTCCCCTCCCCCCCCCCCAATGTATATATCTTGTTTGATGCTGCGTGTGAGTATTTTATAAAGAGTGCACCCCCCCCCCCCCCCCCCCCCACCCCCCCCACACTTGCCATCTGCGACGTACGTGCTGCGATCCTGTTGGCTAAAAACAACAGTGATGCAGAAATTCACACGCAACTTACTGAGGTTTATGTGTAAGATGTTATGACTGATAGTATGGCTCGAAAATGGCATCCGATGTTTAAAGAAGGGCAACAAATATTCATGATGAAGATCATAGCGGTCGGTTGAGTGTGGTGACAGATGATTGGGCTAAGAAGTGAACAAAAAATTCAGGAAAATCGTTGTTTAACAATTTCTGCGTTGTCTGTCAAGTTTCACGTTCACAGATTGACGATGTTTTGAGAAGAAACCTTGGATATAAAAACAGTGTGTGGTTGACGTGGGATGCTGTCTCTGAAATTGTGTTTTTGCATGCTAATGCTCGACCTCACGTCGCCGATGAAACTGTTCAATTGTTGCCATCATTTCACCAGAAAATTGTTGATCACCCCCCCCCCCCCCCGACAGCCCAGATCTTGTGCCAACTGATGACCAGCTTCGCATGCACCTAAAGAAGTGGCTGGCATCCAAGCCATTTCAAAGTGACCATGAACTGCGGACAGGCGTTAATGAATGGTTCAAGACACCCGCGGCAGTCTTCTATGACATAGGAATTAAGACCTGGTACCAGGATACCAAGAATATGTTCACGTCAAGGCCGATTATGTCGATAAATTATGTAAAAATGTGGCTTTTTTTCCGGCTGCAATAAATAATTTTAATAGTTGATGGTTTAAAAATGTGTTTTAAATACTGGGACTTATTTAAAAACACGTTTGGTAAGACGCACCAATATCAGGAATACTTGGACAAGAAATCAATTTCTTCTAGAGTGGCATGACAGCTACGGCGCCAGAAACATAGATTAGAACAGATGGTACAGACAGAAGAATTATACTTTTCGTTCTAGTAGATAAAGCGATAGGACTGACGAGAGAATCGAGGGTAACTGAGAATATCATTTGCGACGGATGTCAGAGATGTGACAAATGTCCCCGTTTGGAGAAGGGAGGAGAGAACTTGAAAGCAGAGGGAAAGGAGGAAAGCGAGTGGAAAACAATTGGTTGACCAGGTAGTCGGGGTTAGGGTGTTGGGACGAGAGGTCGAGAAAACAAATTGAAACTTGTGAAGATGGGAGTTGACTGTATGCCGAAGAGGAAGCGGAGCAGAAAGCAACGTTAAGACTTTTTAGGAGTAAGTAAGATGTACCTAAAAGAGAACGTTGCAAAACTTTGTTTAGAAGAAAGATAGTTTTACTTCTTGTTAGAAGTACTTGTAAAGCAAACGACACAGCAGCTTATATCGAGGTGTTAGTCGTCATGGTTTTAATTAAATTTAGCTGTGTAAATGACCTTATCATTGTGTTTTGGTAATAAACAGTCTTAACTTAATACGAATTGTGACTGGAATAAGTCTTGAACTAAATCAAAAGCTTGAAACTCGTATCGGATTGACAAAAGAAGTTGAAAATCATGTAAATAAAATCAAGAAGCACAAAGGAATCAGCTAGCAGCATGCACTGTCTATGACTAGATAAGAGCGGAGGAAGCTCCATTCCAAGATACAAGTATCGTAAACAATCGGATCCGAGAGGAAGAAGCTCCATTCCAGGTTACAACACTTACCGTCTAACTAGAATCCGCGCGTCGAGCTATATTCTAGCCTAAACATACTTTCACAAACCCAAAAACTGAAGGCATTTAGAAGACTGGGTGAAAGTTACCAATCTTTCTCAGTACTGACACAGTTGAGAATCTACGCAACATCAAAAACCACTTCTGCCGTTAGGCGATGTGAGGAGGAATAATTTGCGATCCAGTGCACGTTGGCTGCCACTGGCTATTGTGGTGCTGTAAAGGCGTAAAGGGTCTTTAATGTTGTCGATCCATTTTCCGCGGCCGTCCTCTTGCTCTTGTAACTGATCTTCTGAGATGTAGTGCTTGTGATTGTATTTGATCTTGCTGCACTCTAACGAGATGGCCAAATCACTTAATCCTTTGATTAAAATAAATAAATTTAAAAAAAGCGACTCTAAGAGCTGTAATTTCAAATACACTATTATATTTCTAGTGGTCTAAGGGACACTTGTTACCAGTCAGAACCGGAACCATAAAGACCCTCACGGGTAATAAGAAATACAAAATCAGTGTGATTCTTCCTAACTGTTGATCAATAAATAATATAAAACACAGGGTTTTTTCTTAGTTTTTTAAAAAGGTGTAGGGAAAACGTTTCCCTAATTTTCTTACTTTGCTCACAAACATAGAATACCTTTTCAGTACGGTGTTTTGAGTTTGACTGTGGTGTTATCTGTGTTGTGTTGTGTGAACAGCTTTTATTACACAGGCAGACACAAGAAAGAACATCACACTCATCAAGGTAATTTGAGATAATTTTCTTTTATTCTAATACAATTTACATAAGTAAAAACCGAGGTTTGAAAAAACTCCACAAGGCACAGTGGAAACACAGTTCCTGCAGAATTTTAGGTGACGTCAATGAAGCAGTATCAAGGTTGGACTGTAAAGTTTGGCAACAGGGAATATCAGGAATCTTTGAACTTTTTAGGGAGACACACCATCATTTTCTTAAATGGATAAGTGAAATAGAAAAGTACGCCTTTCTCTCAAGTGCGACAAGTATTGACATAAAACGATTGGCATAACAAAGGAGTTATTCGCCTTTTTCAGAACAAATAAGAAAAATATTAGATCAGATAAAGGAGAAACTTAGGAAGAACTAAAACATAACTTTATACAAAATTATAGCAAGGTCACAGACGGACATATGGATTGTCTTCTAACACTACAGATTAAACAGTGAAAAGATAAAGGTATGCAGAATGACTCGCACAGATTGCAAAGTCTTGCACAAGATGCGGTTCTTAAAGAAGAAATGCAATCACAGCACTCAGCTGATTTCAGTATCAATCTTTAGTGATAATCTATGAGACAGTTGACGAAGCTTTGATTGATGCGTTCAAGTCCCACAACTCTAGATCAGGCGATCGATGTAAAACTTAAAGAAGAGAATTTAAGACGAAATGTTTTCCCGAAAACTGGAAGACGGACAGAAGAAGAAGATACTAGTATAACAGAACCTATGAAGATAGGTGCAGGCTGCACAGGGAAAGACACTCTAAGATACAAAAGTTAGTTGCGTATCCGTTACAGGACGTGCAGAACCACCCTGGCTGTTGTGTGGTTTTTCTAGGCAAACTTACGTCCTGAGTTTGCCATTGCGTCCTGGACGGTCGGCCTCATGATAGCACTGTCGAAACCAAAGCAAGTCGCATGGCCCGCAGCTGGAAAAGAACCCGGTACCCCGGCATTACGAGGCGTTCGCATCGACTTAGCCACAGAGCCGACCTAAGATACAAGCAATAACAAAAAGTGTACCTAGTTTTACCTGTTTCGAATCCCATAAAGTTCGACTTTGTCATGTAGGTCCCCGACCCACAGCACAGCCGGCAAGCAGTCCACGCGTTAAAACAGATTATAAAGTTTCACTGTAGCAGGTCAGAAATTGAGGTCAGAAATCTAACCAACAAAATAACTGTGACCGGAGAAATATTTATTCCGGAAACGCCCGAACCGCTCATTGGATGAGGCACAGTAATGCGGTAGACGAGTGGTCGCCTCTAAAATGTAAACAGAAGACAAGGCAAATGCATGGAAATTATAGACAGATGAGAGTTAAACCCTCTGGACGAATAAATCATCAGACAACCCGTGCTGTTTCTCAAAAGAAATTAACCATAGTAAGTACCAAAGCCTTGGTAATTTTGGGGCAGATTTGTCTAGACAATATCTTTTACTAGAACAGTTGCTTACAAAAAAATGTATGTTTTAAGAAAGGCGATGTCCACAGACGATATCTCCTCCTAGAGAAAGCAGATATGTGTACAGACTACATCTATTCCAAGAGTAGATGTATGTTCAGACTATATCTATTCTATTACCAGCTATGTCTACAGCCTACATCTATTTCATGGGCAGATTTGTGTAAGAGCACTTATAATTGAAGAGCAGATTTGTGTGCAGATTGTATTTATTCTATGAGCAGATGTGTATACACACTATATCTATTTAAAGAGCAGATGAGTGTAGAGACTACATCTATTCCAAGAACATATCTGTGTGCAAACTACGTCTATTCCAAAAACAAATGTGTGTATAGGTTGCATCTATTCCAAAAGCAAATTATGTACAGAATTTATTTATTTAAAAAAACAGATGTTAATAATGAGTTCATCTTTTTTCAAAAGCAGATGAATGTACAAACTACATCTATTCCAAAAACAGATATATGTACAGACTACAGATCCAAGAACAGATATGTGTACAGACTGCAATTGTTCAAAGAGCTCCTCGATGTACAGATTGCATCTATTTCAAGAGCATATGTATGTAAAGTCTACATCTTCCAGTAGCACATATAGGCACAGATTACATCTAATGCAAGCGCACTTATGTGTACATACTATATATATTGTTAGAGCAAAAGTGTGTACAGCTTACATCTATTCTAAGAGTAGATTATTGTACATGTTACATCTATTTCTAGAGCAGAATCTGGTTAAAGACTACCTCTACTCCAAGAGTAGATCTGTGTACAGATTACTTCTATTCCAAGAATAGTTCTGTGTATAGACAAAAGAATCACAGATTTACAAGAAAAATGATAAACATCAATACAATGATTATATTTCTGGGTGACCCTGCTCTGTTACCTTGTCCCTTTGTGCTTGCCGCTTGACACTGTTTTCTCTAGAGAATGTCAAACGTTTGAGTGGTTGAAAGTGTTGTTGTGAAAGCAAACTTTTTGAGCCATAGCTCTAACATTCTGGGGAAATTCATCTGTCAGTGTCAGCTTGAGCTGACCCGCTTGCCTGCTTCCTTTTAATATTCTTTCATGTTTCATCGAGCCAAAACTGCAGTTGGGGTCATAGAAACTGTTCAGGTTCGACCGTCCTGGGATAGATGGACTGGGACTGAAGTAGACATCGGCCGGGAATAGATTGTTTTCTGCCGTCATGAAGGCTGTGCACATGTCTCCTGTAGATGCTGGTACAAATGTCTCCACTGATCTGTCAGCTCTGACTGTTGGTGTGGCCGGAATATTGTTACAGCCACTAGACTGTGATAAATTGGGGCTACAGTTGTAGGCATAAGTCTGGAGACAAGACGAGGCCTTGGAGAGCTCGGTGTGATACCGGTGGCAGTCGTTGGTTTCCATTGTTGCACTCGTTGCTGTGCTCTCAATCTTGTTTTGTTTTCTCTTGCGGGAAACACGAACAGAGACCACGGCCAGAACACTGCCAACTATAATAAATGCCAGCAGTACAATTAGAAGCACAGTCAACGACAGCGAGGAGCTGGAGCTGGCTCTATTATCAGTGGCCTCTGGCAAATTCCAGGCGATGTTGGCAAACACCAGACTGTCTACAAGTTTGATCTGGATGTGTGTGGAGATGCTGTGTCCCAGGGGCGAACTCTCTCTGGCCTAAAAGTGAGTAGATAAACGCGACACAGGCTAGACAGGTGTGATAAACAGGTATGACTGGTGGGAGAAAAAGTGTGACAGACTTGTGGGCGAGACAGTATGCTCGACAAGTGCAATAGACAAGTGTGATAGCTCGTGGATGAAACAGTGTAGTAGACAGGAAGGAAAGGCAGCGTGACAGACTTGTCTGAGAGACAGTGTGATATACTAGTGGCGGAGACAGTGTGGTCGACTGGTGGGAGAAACAGTGTGATAGACTGGTGGGAGAGACAGTGTGATAGACTGGGGGGGGGACAGTGTGATAGACTGGTGGGGGAGACAGTGTGATAGACTGGGGGGGGGGGAACAGTGTGATTGACTGGTGGGAGAGACAGTGTGATAGACTGGGGGGAGAGACAGTGTGATTGACTGGTGGGAGAGACAGTGTGATTGACTGGTGGGAGAGACAATGTGATTGACTGGTGGGAGAGACAATGTGATTGACTGGTTGGAGAGACAGTGTGATTGACTGGTGGGAGAGACAGTGTGATTGACTGGTGGGAGAGACAGTGTGATTGACTGGTTGGAGAGACAGTGTGATTGACTGGTGGGAGAGACAGTGTGATTGACTGGTGGGAGAGACAGTGTGATTGACTGGTTGGAGAGACAGTGTGATTGACTGGTGCGAGAGACAGTGTGATTGACTGGTGGGAGAGACAATGTGATTGACTGGTTGGAGAGACAGTGTGATCGACTGGTTGGAGAGACAGTGTGATTGACTGGTGGGAGAGACAGTGTGATAGACTGGTTGGAGAGACAGTATGATAGACTGGAGGGAGAGACAGTGTGATTGACTGGTTGGAGAGACAGTGTGATTGACTGGTGCGAGAGACAGTGTGATTGACTGGTGGGAGAGACAATGTGATTGACTGGTTTGTAGAGCAGTGTGTGATCGACTCGTTGGAGAGGGAACGTGTGATTGACTGGTGGGAGGAACCAAGTGCGATAGACTGGTTGGAGAGACAGTGTGATAGACTGGAGGGAGAGACAGTGTGATTGACTGGTGGGAGAGACAGTGTGATAGACTGGAGGGAGAGACAGTGTGATTGACTGGTTGGAGAGACAGTGTGATTGGTGGGAGGGACAGTGTGATTTACTGGTGGGAGAAACAGTGTGATTGACTGGTGGGAGAAACAATGTGATTGACTGGTGGGAGAGACAGTGTGATTGACTGGTGGGAGAGACAGTGTGATTGACTGGTTGGAGAGACAGTGTGATTGACTGGTGGGAGAGACAATGTGATTGACTGGTGGGAGAGACAGTGTGACTGACTGGTGGGAGAGACAGTGTGATTGACTGGAGGGAGAGACAGTGTGACAGACTAGTGGATGAGACAGTGTGACAGACTAGTGGATGAGACAGTGTGACAGACTAGTGGGTGTGACAGTGCTGACGGCTGTGAAAGGATGAGACAGTGTGACATGGTCTAGTGGCTTTGTCAGTGTGATCAGGCTAGTCAGTTGGCGAAGTATGATGACATACTGACCTCGAGTGAGACGCGTGTGAACAGACTAAACCCCGGAGACAGTGTCGACCAGACTAGTGTGGGATGAGACAGTGGTGACAGACTAGTAGATGTTACAGTGTGATACAGACTACTGGATTGAGACAGTTGTGACTGAACTATTCTGAGACAGTGTGATAGACTAGTGGATGAGGAAGTGTTTGTTTAGTGTATGAGACGCTGGTGTGACAATCACTATGACTATGAACATGGTGTGTGTAGATGATGTAAGTGGATCCTCAGTGTGTGAGACTAGTTATGTTCGGGTTTTAAACACGTATGATGGTCTGGAAGAAGATGTTTATTGTTTCGCTAGTAATGATGACAGATAGTTTGACTTCGTAGTTAGCGTGTGTTCACATCGCTATTGAGATTCGATTCCAGTCAAAGTGGGATGAACAAACTACAGTTAGTCTGTGTTAGCAAAAGATAAGCTGCTGTGTTTAGTTATTCTGGTATTCTGTTTGTTGGCACCGTTGTTCTGAGGAAGAGTTTGTTTAGGTGACGCTGGTCTGTCCAATCACGCTATCCAAAATGGGGCTGTAGTCAATGTTTTTGGATCCTCAGTTTGCGTCAAATTATGTTTGGTTTTAAACACTAGTTAGCTGACAGAAGCTTCTTTATTGTTTCGTGTTAGCGTGATTCAGATTCTTTCTTTTAACTCTTAATTCCTGATATCGCTATTGAGATGGTGATTCCTTTATTGAGATTGTTCTCCTAAATACTGATATCGCTATTGAGATGGTGATTCCTTTTTTGAGATTGTTCTCCTAAATACTGATATCGCTATTGAGATGGTGATTCCTTTTTTGAGATTGTTCTCCTAAATACTGATAACGCTAATGATATTTTCTCTTTAAGATTGATAGCGATACTGAGATCTTAACTGAAGTGGAGTACAGATTTACTTACAGTGACAGTCAGCAGAATCTCCTGCATGTTGTTCGGACATGGCACGGCCTCGACATGAACCTCTCCTGTCCGTGCATCGATGTGCAGATTACCTGCAAACATGTCGGGTTCCACTGAAAGTAGACATATTTGCTCCGTTCTCACACCATCAAAGTAAGTCAATGTTACATTTATCAAACATGCCCTATTTTTCGAAATACAATAACTTATAATGGTGCTGTCAACAGTATGTAAGCTGTCATAACAATGTGTGACCTGTATCAACTAAATTGCACCCGTATCAACATTACATCAACCAAATCAACAATATATCACCATTATCAACAGTAGGTCACCTGTATCAACAATATATCACCCGTAACAACAGCATGTCACCTGTATCAACAATACTTAGCTGTCTCAAAGATATATTACCTGGACAGCGATGTGTCACCTGTATCAACGATGTGTCACCTGTATCAACGATGTGTCAGCTGTATCAACGATGTGTCACCTGTATCAACGATGTGTCAGCTGTATCAACGATGTGTCACCTGTATCAACGTTGTGTCAACTGTATCAACGATGTGTCAGCTGTATCAACGATGTGTCAGCTGTATCAACGATGTGTCACCTGTATCTACGATGTGTCAGCTGTATCAACGATGTGTCACCTGTATCAACGATGTGTCACCTGTATCAACGATGTGTCACCTGTATCAACGATTTGTCAGCTGTATCATCAATGTGTCACCTGTATCAACTATGTGTCACCTGTATCAACGATGTGTCACCTGTATCAACGATGTGTCAGCTGTATCAACGATGTGTCACCTGTATCAACGATGTGTCAGCTCTATCAACGATGTGTCAGCTGTATCAACGATGTGTCAGCTGTATCAACGATGTGTCACCTGTATCAACGATGTGTCACCTGTATCAACGATGTGTCAGCTGTATCAACAATATGTCATAAGTCTGTCACCGCGGGTACAAGGTCAGAGCACGTGTGTACAAGGTCGTCTTAGCTGCTCTGACATATATTCTTCTCTCTGGCAGCCATTAGGTTTTCTTCTCATTCGCTGATCTTTCCTTTGCCTGTAATTATGTTATGGTATGGTGATCTGCAATACTAAGCCGGGCGAAGGTATAATATTCTGCTGTGCTTTTTTAGACTGTCGTGATCCCAGATTCCAGAACAAAAGCCTATTGAAACAGGAAGCACTGCGCAAACTGCATATGAATTAAAAACAAGTTTAAGTCAACAACACTCCAGAATATTCTTTTCCCGCCAAAACTAACTGGTGACGGAATAAGTATACTTCGACCTGCTGTCGTTTGGCCATGGCCTTCTTTCTAGAAGTTTCTAAAAAAAAAAAATTTTTTTTTTCATGTGACCAAACCTTGCCGTACTAGTACTAGTACCCTGTTGACGAAATATTCAGTTTTATTGGGTTATTGTATTTTTGATGCTCAGTTGCCAGTGTTCCCGACATTCCTCGCATTTTCTAAAACAATCTGCAGATATTGCAATATAAAGAGAGCCCCTAGTTGGGCGGACTCAAGACTTGTTCAAACTGAGACTTAGGCAGACTTAGAGAGTAGAAGATGGTCAAGAAATACTCTAGAGTAATTGTAGAAAGCCAGTGGGAAGATAAAAACTGTGTGACAGAATGTTCTTTTAAAAAAACGTTTCCTTCTTAGTTTTCCACAGGGCATATTGTTTCAATATTAGTAGATATAACCTTAGACTTTAATTGCCTTTGCCATTTTTTTTTTTAAAGTTACAATTTTTTATTTCACAGACTGAATAAAGGAACATTACCATTTTAGACAAACTGCTATGATTCATCTAAAGTTGTATGTAAGATGGCAGAGTGGCCTTTGTGATATGATAGTTGTAATCAGGGATGAGAGTGGACAGGAAGTTTTCCCATTGTGGGATGTAAATCTGAAAGTCAAAATAGTGCAACAGCCAAGTGACTAAGAAGAAGAGTCTGGCGTGGAATTAGACTAGGATGTAGGTGAAGAAGAGAGAGAAGAGGTGCAACAGTGACATCCCACAGCACAGCTACAAGTCGCATTACGAAGACCCTGCTTCACTATCGCAGGACACTTTCAAGTTGTAAAGAATAACAAACAGCGACATAGTACATTCAACATCATCTAGTTCTATTTTAATAATTACAGTTAATGCACTTACACATATGTCCTTACTGCCATTGGCTAAACTGTCACAATAAGTATAATTAACACCACTACTCTACACCAACGTCCGGTGGAGGACTGTCCTCAGCCATTTCACAACTTGAGCTTACTTCCCTACTTTAGGTAGTTCACGTGGCTTTTGTAATTTTTTGTTCATGCCATAACAATCACATGTTTAGTGCTTTTCTGCAATTTCCACATCCCCAAGATGTCCATCCCTTTCATAATCATGACAGTCACCTGTATCAAAGATATGTCACCCGTATCAACAATTTGTCACCCATATACTATCAACGATATGTCAGCCGTATCAACAACTTGTCACCCGTATCAACAATTAGTCACCCGTATCAACGATATGTCACCCGTATCAACGATATGTCACCCGTATCAACGATATGTCAGCTGTATCAACAATATGTCAGCTATAGCAACGATATGTCAGCTGCATCAACGATATGTCACCCGTATCAACGATATGTCACCCGTATCAACGATATGTCAGCTTTAGCAACGATATGTCAGCTGCATCAACGATATGTCAGCTGCATCAACGACATGTCACCCGTATCAACGATATGTCAAGTATAGCAACGATATGTCAGCTGCATCAACGATATGTCAGCTGTATCAAAGATATGTCACCCGTATCAACAATTTGTCACCCATATACTATCAACGATATGTCACCCGTATCAACAATTTGTCACCCGTATCAACAACATGTCACCCGTATCAACAACATGTCACCCGTATCAACGATATGTCAGCTGCATCAACGATACGTCAGCTGTATCAACGATATGTCAGCTGTATCAACGATACGTCAGCTTTAGCAACGATATGTCAGCTGTATCAAAGATATGTCACCCGTATCAACGATATGTCAGCTGCATCAACGATATGTCAGCTGTATCAACGATATGTCAGCTGTATCAACGATATGTCAGCTGCATCAACGATATGTCAGCTGTATCAACGATATGTCAGCTGCATCAACGATACGTCAGCTTTAGCAACGATATGTCAGCTGCATCAACGATATGTCAGCTGCATCAACGATATGTCAGCTGTATCAAAGATATGTCACCCGTATCAACAATTTGTCACCCGTATACTATCAACGATATGTCAGCCGTATCAACAACTTGTCACCGCTATCAACAATTTGTCACCCATATCAACGATATGTCACCAGTATCAACGATATGTCAGCTGTATCAACGATATGTCAGCTATGGCAACAATATGTCAGCTGCATCAACGATATGTCACCCGTATCAACGATATGTCAGCCGTATCAACGATTTGACACCCGTATCAACGATATGTCAGCTATATCAACGATATGTCAGCTGCATCAACGATATGTCAGCTGTATCAACGATATGTCACCCGTATCAACGATATGTCAGCTGTATCAACGATATGTCAGCTGTATCAACGATATGTCACCCGAATCAACAATTTGTCACCCGTATACTATCAACGATATGTGAGCCGTATCAACAACTGGTCACCCGTATCAACAATTTGTCACCCGTATCAACGATATGTCACCCGTATCAACGATATGTCACCCGTATCAACGATATGTCACCCGTATCAACGATATGTCACCTGTATCAATAATATGTCACCCGTTTCAACGATATGTCAGCTGTATCAATGACATGTCAGCTGTATCAATGATATGTCAGCTGTATCAATGATATGTCAGCTGTATCAATGATATGTCAGCTGTATCAATGATATGTCAGCTGTATCAATGATATGTCACCCGTATCAATGATATGTCAGCTGTATCAATGATATGTCACCCGTATCAATGATATGTCAGCTGTATCAATGATATGTCAGCTGTATCACCGATATGCCAGCTGTATCAATGATATTTTAGCAGCATCAATGATATGTCAACTGTATCAATGATATGTCACCGTTATCAATGATATGTCAGCTGTATCAACGATATGTTACCCGTATCAATGATATGTCAGCTGTATTAACGATATGTTACCCGTATCAATAATATGTCAGCTGTATCAATGATATGTCAGCTTTATCAATGATATGTCAGCTGTATCAACGATATGTCAGCCTATCATCAATATGTCAGCTGTATCGACGATATGTCAGATGTGTCAACGATATGTCACTCGTATAAAAGAAATGTCAGCTGTTTTAAAAAATATGTCAACTATACAGACAATATGTCAGCTGTATCAACGATATGTCACCTGTATCAACGATTTGTCAGCTATTTCAACGATATGTCAGCTGTGTTGAAGATATGTCAGCTGTGTTGAAGATATGTCAGCTGTGTTAAAGATATGTCAGCTGTGTTGAAGATATGTCACTCATGTCAGCGATATCTCATCTCTACTAACGATACGTCACCCTATTAACAATATTTCAGCTGTAACAACAAAATCTTAGTGGTTGTATGGTTTAAGTGATTCATTAATACTATAGAGGAGGACGTGTACTTAAACCTATGTGCGATAGGGCGGAGAGGGTGGTGGAAGGGAGGGGTGGGGGGTATATGGTTTAGGTAGAACCTATGTGAGAAGGGCTGGTAGTGGGGTGGAAGGGAGGGGTGGGGGGGGGGGTGGGGAGATAAATAGTTGTATGTTTTGAGGGATACAATAAGGACTAAAGTAGAAACAGAATTAAACCGGCAATGGCTGTAGAAATCAGTGGTTGTATAGTTTAAGTGATGCATTAGGTACTTTAGTACAGACTGAGTTAAACCAGCGGTGGCTGTAGAAATCAGTGGTTGTATGGTTTAAGTGATGCATTAGGTACTTTAGTAGAGACTGAGTTAAACCAGCGGTGGCTGTAGAAATCAGTGGTTGAATGGTTTGAGTGATACATTTGGAACTATCATAGAGACTAAGTGAAGACAGCTTTACATTTGCATTCTGGGTGAAGCATGTCCTCTTCAGTCTATCTCTCTGAGACTTTTCCAATCGGCCGTGCATCGATCTGTCAAGTGGTTACCTTTGGAGAGCCCCGTAAGGAGCTTTGTGTCTCCCCTGTTTTCTAGAGGCTGGAGACTAATAAGTGTTTCCATGTCTAATGTGGGCTTGGGGACTGGTACGTGTTTCCATGTCTAAAGTGGGCTTTGATGTCTCTCCTGTTTTCTTCAGCATGCAGACTAGTATGTGTTTTCATGTCTAATGTGGGCTTGGAGACTAGTAAGTGTTTCCATGTCTAATGTGGGCTTGGGGACTGGTACGTGTTTCCATGTCTAATGTGGGCTTTGATGTCTCTCCTGTTTTCTAGAGCATGGAGATTAGTATGTTTTCATGTCTAATGTGGGCTTGGGAACTGATACGTGTTTTCCGTGACTAATGTGGGCTATTGATGTCTCTCCTGATTTTCTAGAGCATGGAGACTAGTATGTGTGTTTTCATTGTCTAATGTCTAATGTGGGCTTGGGGACTGATACGTGTTTCCATGTCTAATGTGGTCTTGGGGACTGATATGTGTTTCCATGTCTAATGTGGGCTTGGGGACTGGTACGTGTTTCCATGTCTAATGTGGGCTTGGGGACTGATACGTGTTTTCATGTCTAATGTGGGCTTGGGGACTGATACGTGTTTCCATGTCTAATGTGGGCTTGGGAACTGGTACGTGTTTCCATGACTAATGTGGGCTTGGGGACTGATACGTGTTTCCGTGACTAATGTGGGCTTTGATGTCTCTCCTGATTTCTAGAGCATGGAGACTAGTATGTGTTTCCATGTATAATGTGGGCTTGGGGACTGGTACGTGTTTCCATGTCTAATGTGGGCTTTGATGTCTCTCCTGTTTTCTAGAGCATGGAGATTAGTATGTGTTTTCATGTCTAATGTGGGCTTAGGGACTGATACGTGTTTCCGTGACTAATGTGGGCTTTGATGTCTCTCCTGATTTCTAGAGCATGGAGACTAGTATGTGTTTTCATGTCTAATGTGGGCTTGGGGACTGATACGTGTTTCCATGTCTAATGTGGGCTTGGGGACTGGTACGTGTTTCCATGTCTAATGTGGGCTTGGGGACTGATACGTATTTTCATGTCTAATGTGGGCTTGGGGACTGATACGTGTTTCCATGTCTAATGTGGGCTTGGGGACTGGTACGTGTTTCCATGTCTAATGTGGGCTTGGGGACTGGTACGTGTTTCCATGACTAATGTGGGCTTGGGGACTGATACGTGTTTCCGTGACTAATGTGGGCTTTGATGTCTCTCCTGATTTCTAGAGCATGGAGACTAGTATGTGTTTCCATGTATAATGTGGGCTTGGGGACTGGTACGTGTTTCCATGTCTAATGTGGGCTTTGATGTCTCTCCTGTTTTCTACAGCATGGGGACTTGTATGTGTTTTCATGTCTAATGTGGGCTTAGAGCTCACTGCTCCTGTCGTAATACCCACATCCTAGAGGCTTTTGAAAAAAAAAAAAAAACCAATTTAGCGCCCGTGCCACAAACAGCTGTCCCATATTCAAGTGTTGGTCTCACATAGTCTACATTGCTTCTCCTGAGGACACTGAGATTTGCCTGCACCTCGTCCCACCTTGCAGTCTGTTCCCTGTTAATTGCTTGATCGCGTGTGATTTATTTATGTGTTGGTGTGCGTGTACGTGCTTGTGGATGCGTATGCTTTGTGTGCAAACAATTGATACAGGAATCACTTGAAGTGAGATCACCCACCTGGCGAGATGCTGTAGAGGATGGAGTAGTTCTGTGTGTCCCTGTCCACCGCCTGGATAGCGCCTGGATATAGTCTCAGCGGTCCCTGGGAAAACATTAGTTAGTTTTTATCTCAAAATGATCTGAGCTCCAACTTTCCCAGTTTATGTGAAAAATGATCCTCATCTCTCTCTCTCTCTTTCTCTCTCTCTCTCTCTCTCTCTCTCTCTCTCTCTCTCTCTCTCTCTCTCTCTTTCTCTCGCTCCTCTCTCCTCTCTCTCTCTTCTCTCTCATCTCTCTCTCTCTCTGCCCCTCTCTTCTCGCCTCTCTCTCTCTCTCTCCTCTTCTCTCTCTCTCTCTACTCTCGCTCTCTCTCTCTCTAGTCTCTCTCTCTCCTCTCTCTAGCGATTCTTCCTCCTCCTCCTCCTCCTCTCTCCTCTCCCTCCTCCTCCTCTCTCCTCCTCCTCTCTTCTCCGCTCCTCCGCCTCCTCCTCCTCCCTCTCCTCCTCCCATCCTCCTCCTCCTCTCCGCCTCCTCATCTCCTCCTCCTCCTCCTCCTCCTTCTCCTCCTCCTCCTCCCTCCTCCTCCTCCTCCTCCTCTCCTCCTCCTCCTCCTCCTCCTCCTCCTCTCCTCCCTCCTCCTCCTCCTCCTCCTCCTCCTCCTCCTCCTCTCCTCCTCCTCCTCCTCCTCCTCCTCCTCCTCCTCCTCCTCCTCCTCCTCCTCCTCTCTCCTCCTCCTCCTCCTCCTCCTCTCCGCCTCCTCCTCCTCCTCCTCCTCCTCCTCCTCCTCCTCCTCCTCCTCCTCCGCCTCCTCCTCCTCCTCCTCCTCCTCCTCCTCTCCTCCTCCTCCTCCTCCTCCTCTCCCTCCTCCTCCTCCTCCTCCTCCTCCTCCTCCTCCTCCTCTCTCCTCCTCCTCCTCCTCCTCCTCCTCCTCCTCCTCCTCCTCTCCTCCTCCTCCTCCTCCTCCTCCTCCTCCTCCTCCTCCTCCTCCTCCTCCTCCTCCTCCTCCTCCTCCCTCCTCCTCCTCCTCCTCCTCCTCCTCCTCCTCTCCTCCCTCTCTCCTCCTCCTCCTCCTCCTCCTCCTCCTCCTCCTCTCTCCTCCTCCATCCTCCTCCTCCTCCTCCTCCTCCTCCTCCTCCTCCTCCTCCTCCTCCTCCTCCCTCCTCCTCCTCCGCTCCTCCTCCTCCTCTCCTCCTCCTCTCTCTCGTCTCTCCCTCTCTCTAACGATTTCTCATCTCTCCCTTCTCTCTCTCTCTCTCCCTCTCTCTCTCTCTCTCTCTCTCTCTCCCTCTCTCTCTCTCTCTCTCTCTACCGTCTCTCTACTGCTTCAATCTCTTCTCACTCTCAGCTCTCTCGCATCGGGTCTCTCTCTCATAGTCTAAATCCCCTCTCTATCTCTCTCTCTCTTCCACAAGGGGCTGCTTCAAGTACTAACGTCTTCCACAAGGGGGCTTCTCTCATAGACCCGATCTCCCTCTCATACCCTCCACAACATAGAACGAACGAACAGCTCCTACACTTCACAAGGGGAAGGGCTCATAGACGAACGATCTAAGCTCATACCCTCCACCAAGGGGACGGCTTCAATAGACTACGACGAGCTCATCGTTCCACAATGGGACCCTTATGCTTTAAATAACAGCTCATACGTTTCCAAAGGGGACGGCTTCATAGACTAGACGATCTAAGCTCATACGTTCCACAAGGGGACGGCTTCATAGAACTAACGATCTCAGCTCATACGTTCCACAAAGGGACGGCTTCAAGAGGGGCTTCATAGTTCCGTAACGATCATAGACTCAGCTCATACGTTCCACAAGGGGACGGCTTCATAGACTAACGATCTCAGCTCATACGTTCCACAAGGGGACGGCTTCATAGACTAACGATCTCAGCTCATACGTTCCACAAGGGGACGGCTTCATAGACTAACGATCTCAGCTCATACGTTCCACAAGGGGACGGCTTCATAGACTAACGATCTCAGCTCATACGTTCCACCAAGGGGACGGCTTCATAGACTAACGATCTCAGCTCATACGTTCCACAAGGGGACGGCTTCATAGACTAACGATCTCAGCTCATACGTTCCACAAGGGGACGGCTTCATAGACGAACGATCTCAGCTCATACGTTCCACAAGGGGACGGCTTCATAGACTAACGATCTCAGCTCATACGTTCCACAAGGGGACGGCTTCATAGACTAACGATCTCAGCTCATACGTTCCAACAAGGGGACGGCTTCATAGACGAAACGATCTCAGCTCATACGTTCCACAAGGGGACGGCTTCATAGACGAACGATCTCATTCAGCTCATACGTTCCACAAGGGACGGCTTCATAGACGAACGATCTCAGCTCATACGTTCACAAGGGGACGGCTTCATAGACTAAACGATCTCAGCTCATACGTTCCACAAGGGGACGGCTTCATAGACTAACGATCTCAGCTCATACGTTCCACAAGGGGACGGCTTCATACGATCTAACGATCTCAGCTCATACGTTCCACAAGGGGACGGCTTCATAGACTAAACGATCTCAGCTCATACGTTCCACAAGGGGACGGCTTCATAGACTAACGATCTCAGCTCATACGTTCCACAAGGGGACGGCTTCATAGACTAACGATCTCAGCTCATACGTTCCACAAGGGGACGGCTTCATAGACTAACGATCTCAGCTCATACGTTCCACAAGGGGACGGCTTCATAGACTAACGATCTCAGCTCATACGTTCCACAAGGGGACGGCTTCATAGACTAACGATCTCAGCTCATACGTTCCACAAGGGGACGGCTTCATAGACTAACGATCTCAGCTCATACGTTCCACAAGGGGACGGCTTCATAGACTAACGATCTCAGCTCATACGTTCCACAAGGGGACGGCTTTTCATAGACTAACGATCTCAGCTCATACGTTCCACAAGGGGACGGCTTCATAGACGAACGATCTCAGCTCATACGTTCCACAAGGGGACGGCTTCATAGACGAACGATCTCAGCTCATACGTTCCACAAGGGGACGGCTTCATAGACGAACGATCTCAGCTCATACGTTCCACAAGGGGGGACGGCTTCATAGACGAACGATCTCAGCTCATACGTTCCACAAGGGGACGGCTTCATAGACGAACGATCTCAGCTCATACGTTTCCACAAGGGGACGGCTTCATAGACGAAACGATCTCAGCTCATACGTTCCACAAGGGGACGGCTTCATAGACGAACGATCTCAGCTCATACGTTCCACAAGGGGACGGCTTCATAGACGAACGATCTCAGCTCATACGTTCCACAAGGGGACGGCTTCATAGACGAACGATCTCAGCTCATACGTTCCACAAGGGGACGGCTTCATAGACGAACGATCTCAGCTCATACGTTCCACAAGGGGACGGCTTCATAGACGAACGATCTCAGCTCATACGTTCCACAAGGGGACGGCTTCATAGACGAACGATCTCAGCTCATACGTTCCACAAGGGGACGGCTTCATAGACGAACGATCTCAGCTCATACGTTCCACAAGGGGACGGCTTCATAGACGAACGATCTCAGCTCATACGTTCCACAAGGGGACGGCTTCATAGACGAACGATCTCAGCTCATACGTTCCACAAGGGGACGGCTTCATAGACGAACGATCTCAGCTCATACGTTTCACAACACGGCTTCATAGACGAACGATCTTCTCATAGTTCCACAAGGGGACAGCTTCATAGACGAACGATCTCAGCTCATACGTTCCACAAGGGGACGGCTTAATAGACTAACGATCTCAGCTCATACGTTCCGAATGCGTGTAAACACTTATCTCAGCTCCAGCGTTCCTATTTTGAATGAACAGTGACCATAGCTCCAGTGTTGCCTTTTTGTGTGAGTGATGACCTCAACTTGAACGTTTACAATCTGAGTAAACAATCATCTCATCTCTAACGTTCCTAATTTAGGCGAACAAGTATCTCATCTCCAACGTTCACAATTTGTGCAAAGAGTGGCTTTAGCAATAACGTTCACAATTTAGGCGAACAAGTATCTCATCTCCAACTGTCACAGTTTATGTTAAGAGTAATCAGTTCCAACGTTCCCACTTTGTGTGAACAACGATCTCAACTGCAACGTTCACAATTTGTGTGAACAACAATCTCAGCTTCATTATTTACAACTTGTGTGAACAACGATCTCAGCTCCATTATTTACAGCTTGTGTGAACAACGATCTCAGCTCCATTATTTACAACTTGTGTGAGCGACGATCTCAGCTCCATTATTTACAACTTGTGTGAACCACGATCTAAGCTCCATTATTTACATCTGGTGTGAACGACAATCTCAGCTACATTATTTACATCTGGTGTGAACAATGGTCTCAGGTCTAACTTTCACAGTGTGTGTGGTGAACTATGATTTCAGCTCCAACTATCACAGTTTGTCAAACAATAATCGAAGCAATGATCTAGGCTCCAACGTTCACAGCGTGTGAGAACAAGGATCTCAGCTCCATTGTTCACAACTTCTGGCAACACTCATTACAGCATCAGTGTTTACCAAGCTAGAATGGACAGACATAGCCAACATTTGAAGTTGACCTGTAACGTTGTTTTAATTGTGAAAGCCAACATAAAGTCAAGATTTAGTTCGAAGACTGGTCCTACAAAAGAGATCAGTACCTGATAACTGCTAGACTCGCGCGCGCGCGCGCACACACACACACAAACACACCCAAAACTATAGACTATGATCAGAAAACTTAATGAATGAAACGACTGGAGGCTCACAAATACAACCCAACTTCTCAACAGCAGTCTTTATCAACAGAAGAAAAAAAATGGACAGTCACAGCCAATTAGTTTGGTTAACATGGAACCGAATAGTTCAGTTCATTTGAGCCCACCAGTTATAAGATATAAATATCCATACATATTTCCTTTCTTGCATACATACATACATACATACGTACATACGTACGTACATACATACGTACATACGTACATACATACATACAAACATACGTACATACATACATACAAACATACATACATACATACATTCATACATACAAACATACATACATACAAACATACAAACATACATACATACATTCATACATACATACATACATACAAACATACATACATACATACATACATACATACATACATACATACATACATACATACATACATACATACATACATACATACATACATACATACATACATACATACATACATACATACATACATACATACATACATACATACATACATACATACATACATACATACATACATACATACATACATTCATCCATACATACATCCATCCACCATCCATATCCATACATACATACATACTATCCATTCATATCCATACATACATACATACATACATCCATTCATACATACATACATACATACATACATACATACAGACATACATACATACATACAATACATACATACATACATACATACATACATACATACATACATACATACATACATACATACATACATACATACATATACTACATACATACATACATACATACATACATACATACATACATACATACATACATACATACATACATACATACATACATACATACATACATACATACATACATACATACATACATACATACATACATACATACATACATACGTACATACATACATACATACATACATACATACATACATACATACATACATACATACATACATACATACATACATACATACATACATACATACATACATACATACATATACATACATACATACATAACATATATATTACATATACATACATACATACATACATACATACATACATACATACATACACTACATACATACATACATACATACATACATACATACATACATACATACATACATACATACATACATACATACATACATACATACATACATACATACATACATACATACATACATGTGCTGCGTTCGATCCCAGCCTCAAGCAAATTGGCAGCAAAACGTCTTCCGTTGGTTTCTACATTGGCACCGAAAACTGAAGCAATGGCAAACTACTATGTAAAATGTGTCTAGAAAAGCCACAACAGCCAAAACATTCTCAGATTGGTTCTGCATGGTTATGTGTAGAATACGCAACTAACTTCATATATATATATATATATATATATATATATATATATATATATATATATATATATATATATATATATATATATATATATATATATATATATATATATAATTTTAAAGAAAATAAAGTTAGCTGCTCTTTTTTCTATTTTTCACTTATTCGTATTTCCCGTTCTATGCTGACTTTGTTCATGTTTGTGTCAATTGCTTTGACTGGTGATTAAGACAAGTGGAAATATAAGGTTTTGGTTTATTTACGTCCTGTACGTTTCGAGTCTCAACCTGTATTGGTCAGTCACTTGCTCAAACTGACCAAGCCCCGTAGTCGTCTTCGCTTACCCAAAATCCACATTTGATGGCCGCCTGAAAGTAGGGTACACTGCAGAAATTGTCTACCCTTGGGCAGTCGCGATAGACAAATGCTGGGCCCTGATCGTCGACGTCACTGACATGGGCGGTCAGTGTTGTGAAGGATGAAAGGGCCAGTGGCGATCCGTTATCCTGCACACAAAAAGTATTCCACATTTATATTATCCCGCAAGTAAAACAAACTAGTACTCAACATTTATCTCTGCAGTAATCCTACAAGTACAATAAAGCACTACTCCTCATTTATCTCTTCAGTTATGATGCAAGAATAACATAGTTGGAAACGGGTTACACAGAAAATACAAGATATCAACAATATTCGGTAGAAGCATAACAGTAAACACTTACATCTCAGTAAACAATAACATCTCACTAAACTCTTACATCACAGTAAACACTTAGATCTCAGTAAACATTTGCATCTCAGTAAACAATAACATCTCACTAAACTCTTACATCACAGTAAACACTTAGATCTCAGTAAACATTTGCATCTCAGTAAACAATTACACCTCACTAAACACTTACATCACAGTAAATCCTAACATCTTATTAAATGCTAAGCTTGCCAAGAATTAAATCTTCTTGAAAATGATGCACATTGGGACACTTCACTTGCTGATGCTTCGAATACTGCTCGACCACAGCAAATACGAACATTATTTGCACAAATATTAACAACTTGCTTCCCATCCAATCCAACAGAGCTTTGGGGAAAAAACAAAGACTACATGAGTGAAGACATCCTAAATCGCTGGCGTGAAACGAAGGCAATGCCAACTAAGATTCTGCAGTGGGTAAAGTACTCAAAGAATGTCAGTTCATTATATGGGACGAAGTTTTCCCTAAAATAACACAGAATTACATAAATCATCAGTGGCTCAGTGAACGTGCTATCTTAGCAGCTAAAAACAAGGATGTGTATGCCATGAATCTGAACATCCAAGACAAACTACCAGGCGGAGTGACAACGTATAAGTCTATCGATACTGTAATAATTAAGGATGAAGTTGTCAATTATCCAACTCAGTTCTTGAATTCATTTGATTTGTCAGGCATGCCCCCACACGTTTTAACCTTAAAAATTGGCGTGCCTATCATTATTCTCAGAAACATCAATCCGCCACTTCTTTGCGATGGTACTAGGCTTTCAGTGAAAAAGCTGATGCCTAATATAATCGAAGGTACAATTTTAAATGGGAAATTTAAGGTCTAGAATATACTATTGCCACGCATCCCAATGATTCCAACAAACATGCCATTTGAATTAGGACGCTTGCAGTTTCCGGTGTGATTGGCCTTTGCAATGACCATAAACAAATCACAGGGACAATCGCTACAAGTGTGTGGACTACATTTGGAACATCCATGCTTTTCACATGGACAGCTATATGTGGCCTGTTCACGTGTCGGAAAACCAGATTTATTTGTTTGTTCATTTCGTAATTATGGTGTATTTTTCCTGTTTTCATTGCTTTTCACAAGGGTAATTTTTCTAACTACTTCGATGAGGGAAAAAGTAGTAGGTGAACTGGGGGATGGGGGGTTAAAATAAACTGTTTACTGAGATATATTTAAGTTACAGTAACTGCCTTACCTACTCAAAGTATTATTAGCTGTGGTTTAGCTGTTGCACTGTACATCGCTGGCGTGAAGCGAAGACAGATTTTTATGTTCTCTATTTTCCATTTAGTCAAACTATGCCACAGCAACGCGTGGCCGTGTACAGCTAGTATATATATATATATATATATATATATATATATATATATATATATATATATATATATATATATATATATATATATATATATACAGATACATACATACATAAATAGTTTCATAGATCATTCATCACTGGCACCTTTTCGTCTTTCCAGACGATAGTGTTATATTGCGCTATTAAAAGGCATGAAACTTACAGCCCATGGCGATAGCGAGTGTGACTAGCAAGAAAAGACTTCCACGATGATAGCATGGGATTTCAGGACCATTGTTGTCAACATTTGTGTTTAATCCGTTTCTTTTCAGACGCTTAGCTCTCATCCTTTCTGCAATCATTTCTTCCTTCAGTCTCATTCCCTTCCTGATATGCCTTTTCCACACAACACGGTCCATGGCATTTTGTTCCCATGAGTCTGCCTCAATACCTGTATCATTTATGTCCCGCTTACATACATCTTTATAACGTAGTAGAGGACGGCCTCCACATCTTCTTCCTGTCTTTAATTCACCATAAAGGATGTCCTTAGAGACTCTGCCATCCTCCATTCTCCATGTGTGACCCAGCCATCTGAGCCTTTGTACACTGAGCATGTAAAAGACTGTTGAAGTACCTGCTCTTTCCAGTACCTCAGTGTTTGTGAATTTGTCCTGTCACTTAATGCCAAGTATTCTTCTTTGGCATCGCATGTGAAAGCTATTAAGCCGTCTCTCCTCTTGCAAAAAGGTTGACCGATTTTCACAGCCATAAAGCAGAGTGCTGAGAACACAAGCCTGATAGACAAGGATAAGTACATAAATACATACAAAAATATATATACACACACATACATAGATACATACATACATACATACATAAATACATACCTACCTACCTACCTACCTACCTACCTACCTACCTACCTACCTACCTACCTACCTACCTACCTACCTGCCTACCTCCCTCCCTCCCTCCCTCCCTCCCTCCCTTCATCCCTCCCTCCCTCCCTCCCTCCATCCATCCATCCATCCATCCATCCATCCATCCATCCATCCATCCATCCATCCATCCATCCATCCATCCATCCATCCATCCATGCATGCATGCATGCATGCATGCATGCATGCATGCATGCATGCATGCATGCATGCATGCATGCATGCATACATACATACATACATACATACATACATACATACATACATACATACATACATACATACATACATACATACATACATACATACATACATACATACATACATACATACATACATACATACATACATACATACATACATACATACATACATACATACATACATACATACATACATACATACATACATACATACATACATCAGTTCTCGTTGTGCCTAGTGGCACATGAGGCTTCAGAGAGGACTTTCCATGCTTTCCTGTCCTGTGTAATCTTCAGTGAAGTTTTCCATGTCAAAGATGCCGCACTCAGGTCACTTTCCATCGTTCTTCTCCATGTTGTTTTTTGGGCGCCCCCTATTTTCTCTTTCTCTCTGGTGTCCACGTGGGAGCTGTTTTGGCAGGTATATCAGGATTCATTCTCATAACGTGGCCAAGCCATTTCCATCTTCTCTTGGTTATCATAGTGTCTAAATTTTCTTGGTTTGTGACTTGAGGAGCCTTTAGTGTTTGAGATTGTAACTGGCAAGAAAATTTTGATAATTCTACGTAGACATGTGTGGTGGAAGGTGGACAGCTTGTGTGCGTCCTTTTTGGTCATTCTTCAGCCTTCCGCTCCATAAAGAAGAACTAGCAAAATGATGCTCTTGTAGAGTCGTAGTTTAGTTCCTCTGCAGTAATTGTTGGATTTCCAGATTTGCCTCATCCTTCCAAAAGCAGCTCTAGCTTTGTTTAGACGTGACTTTATGTCCTCTTCGGTCCCTCCAGGTAGGGACACCACACTGCCAAGATATGTGAAATATTCTACATTTTCAAGAGTTTGGTTATTTATGGTCACTGGTTGTTGGTTTGGACTGTTTGTCATGATCTTAGTTTTCTTTGTATTTATTCTCAGTCCCACGATTTCTGCTGTGCTGTGTAGTCTGTTACTTTTCTCTTGTATCTGTTCATGTTTATGTGATAGGAGTGCTATATCATCTGCGAAATCAAGGTCCTCAAGCATTGTGAATGGAGTCCATCGTATGCCTCTCAATGTTCTGTCTACTGTGTGTTTTAGTATCCAATCAATCACAAGGTTGAAGAGGAGAGATGACATAACACATCCCTGTCTTAAACCTGTCTTTACTGGGAAAGATATATTGTAATTTTTTATACTGCAGGAAGTCTTTATAGAAGAGAGCAATTATGTTGACTATTTTATCTGGAATTCCATAATGTCGTAAAATTTTCCATAGACTGTCTCTATGTACGCGGTCAAAAGCTTTCTCAAAGTCCACAAAATTAACATATATACTTCTCTGCCATTCATTGCATTGTTCTAAATTGCTGCGTATGGCGAAGATGTGTTCAGTTGTTCCTCTGCCCTTTCTGAATCCTGCTTGTTCTACTCGTAGACATTTGTCTACTCCTTGTTCAAGCCTCATTATGATGATTTTACAAAATATTTTGCTTGGTACTGAAAGTAGAGTAACTCCCCTCCAATTATTGCAGTCTGTTAAGTCTCCTTTTTTTGGGGATTTGGACTATTGTTCCTTCGGTCCAGTCATCAGGCAACACTTCTTTTTCCCAAATATCCTTGAACAATGGTTCTAGAATGCTAGCAGTTGTGTTGGGATCTACTTTGAGAAGTTCTGCTGGCAGTTCGACTTTGCCTGGTGCTTTTTTGTTCTTTAAAGTGTGGATAGCTTTAAGGATTTCTTGTTTGCTTGGTGGTTGAGTAATAATGTCAATGTCCTGAGAGGCTGGTTGAATATCTGGGAGATTTTCAGGATCAGGTCGGTTCAAGAGGTCGGAGAAGTGTCTAGTCCACAGCATGTCTTGTTTTTGTTCTGTGGTGAGCAGTCTGCTTTGGTTATCTCTGATGGGTATGCTTTGATAATTGTTTCTGCTTCCGCAAATTTGCTGAGTAATTTTGTGTAGCGTTTGTAGATCATGTGCTTTAGCAGCATTTGCTGCTGTTTCTGCTAGATTTTCCAGAAATCTTCTTTTGTCAGCTCTGGCACTTTTCTTTGTCATTTTATTTAGTTCGCTATATTCTAACATTAGTTTGTCTTTCTGACGTTCTGATTTAGTGTGATTCATTTGGCTCTTTATTCTTTTTCGCTTGGCAATATAGTCCATGGTTTGACAGCTTATCCATTCTTTGTGGTGTTGTTTCCTGGTTCCTAATATGTTGTTGCTAGTTGATTTGTATGTTTCTTTGATCTGGTTCCATCTGTCTTCAATGCTGATTTCAGTTTGAGACATATATATATATATATATATATATATATATATATATATATATATATATATATATATATATATATATATATAAAGGCATACAGACACGCACTCACACAAACATACATACACATAAACACACATATACACACATTCATGCATGTAAACACTTGCACTCAAACTCACAAATACGCATATATATACACACACACAAATCTTTACATATACACACATGCACTCTCCTGCATGCACACAAATGCAGAAACAACTATATACACACAAGCGCGCATACATACACAAGCATACACATGTGCACAAACATGTACCCACACTCATACAAACACTTAACGCACCCACACTTAAACATGCACTACCACTTATGTGAACACACATATATCAGGAAGAGAAACTGCTCATTGGTTGGACAAGACGTCCCATTCGGCAAAGTACCGTGGTGTCACTTACCGTTGCTGAGAGGTTGAGTGTCAAGGTCAGCCGGCCCTGTCTCTGAAGGACGTCGAAATCCACAGGCTGCGACAATATCACGTGACTGCCGTCCTCTGATATCTGGAAGAAATGGCGCCCGTCACCCTGTGGCACACATACACAGAGATACATATGTGAAAGACATACGCTGATGAGAAAGATACACAGATGTTAAATACACAGATGAGATACAAACACTGGTGAGAGAGATACACATATGCTAGAAATACACATATGAGAAAGAAACACGCAATGAGAGAGATGCACATATGAGGCACACTTTTGACAGAAATACACTAAGATAAACAGATGAGGGAGAAAACTCATAAGAAAGATGCGCAGATGAAAAAGGTACATTGACCACTGAGATACACAGATGAGAGAGAGAGATAGATAGATGGACAGATACACCAAAAATAGAGACGCTAATGAGAGAGAGAGAGAGACGCTGAAGAGAGTTACAGTGATACACAAAGAAAAATATACACTCATACAAATTACAGAGATACCCACATATAAACAAATGAATGTTGCTGGAAAACACTGAAATACACGAATGAAAATAACAACGCTACACACATGAAAGTTGCAGCGAAACAAAGAGATACAGAAATGAAAGTTACAAGGATACAAACAGATCCACTACTGAAAGCTACAACAATATGCAGACACATTGATGATAGTTGTGATACACACAGATACACTGTTGAAAGTTACAATGATACACACATATATACAGCGATACATATAGATACGCTAATAAAAGTTACAGCGATACACTGATGACAATAGTGCGATACACTGATGACAGTTACAGCGATACACAGATGGCAATTGCCGCAATACACAGATGACAGTTCCTGCAATACACAGAAGACAGTTACCGCAATTCACAGAAGACAGTTACAGCGATACACAGATGACAATTACAGCGACACGCTGATGACAGTTACAGCGATACACGGATGACAGTTACCGCAAAACACTGACGACAGTTACTGCGTCACACAGAAGACAGTTAGTGCCATACACAGACATGTACTTATGAAACAAATACATAGTTGAGAGTTACAGTGATAGACAGAGATACGCAGATGAAAGAGATACACTGTTGTAAGTTATAGTTATACGAAGAGATACACATATGATAGAGATATACTGATGAGAGTTACTGCGACACACGTAGAAACACTTTCAAGAAATACAAACATTTGAGAGTTATGTATATATAAATAAATATATACACATAAATAAAAGATACACCGACGAATGTTACATCGATACCAAGAGATAACAGATGAGAGAGAGAGAGATATATAGATGAGAATTGACACAATACACCGAGATACACAGATGAGAGAGAGATACATAGATGAGAATTGACACAATACACAGAGATACACAGATGAGAGAGATACACAGATGAGAGAGATACACAGATGAGAGAGATACAGTGTTGAGCGCTACAGCAAAACACAAAAATACACGTCCGAAAGCGATACACAGATGAAAGTTACAGCGATTCACAGAGATACACTAATGAAAATTACATCGATCGCCAGAGTTTCACTGTTGAAAGATATACATTGATAAGATTACAGCGAGACGCAGAAATAATCCTATACATTGGTATATAGATAAAAGGTACAGCGATACACATGGATACACCGATAAAAGTTACAACAATACACATAGATGTAGTCATAAAAGTTACAGAGATCAACACAACACTTAAAGAGACACAGATGAAATTTACTGCGATACACAGAGATATTCAGATGAGAGAGATGCGTTGATGAGAGTTACAGCTGAACCCCTGATAACACAGACAAAAGAGATACACCGATTAAAGTTACATAGATACGCAGACATACACAGCTGAGAGATACACTGATGAGAGTTGCAGTGATATGCATAGTAACAAAAAAGATAAAAGGGATACACTGATTAAGGGTACAGCGATACACAGAGCTATACTGACAAGAGAGATTCGCCGATAAGAGTTACAGCCATACACTAAGATACAAATGAAAATAGCTGCAATTCACATAGATTTACAAACTAGAGAGATACACAGATGTGCGTTACAGCGATATACATAGATATACCCATGTAAGAGATAAACTGATGAAATTTACTGAGATACACATATGAGAGAGAGAGAGAGATCTACTACACATGCTATATAGACAACAGCGAAACACTGGTCAGAGATACACCGACGACAGAAATACACACAAGAGAAAGATACACTGATGTCAGCGAAACACAGGTAAAAGAGGTATGATATAGGAGAGCTGTATCAAAAAATGCTATATCTCATATAAGAGAGATACACTGATAAAATTTACAGTGATCCAGATATACACTGATACTACGCACTAATTAGAGCAATACACAGATACAATTTGCACATAGATGAGAGAGACACACAGATGAAAGTCGTGATATGTAGATATACACATATGAGAGAAATACACTGATGAAAGTTACATCTATACATGGTGAAATAAAGATAAAAGAGATACACTGATACAAGTTACAACGATAGACAAAAATTCACAAATATAAGTTACAGGGATACACATAGATACACAGTTGAGAAGGATACACTGATAAGGGTTACTTACAATCACACACATTTACAAAATAAATGAGAAGCACAGATGCAAGTTAGAGCGATACACATAGATACACTGATGATAGAGATAACTGAAACTTACAGATATACACAGATGAGAAAAATAGGTTTGTGCAAGCTGCGTAGACAACAGCGATGTACTTAAAGAATAGATTCACATATAAAAAAAATATGCGGAAAGCATAAATATACAGATGACGGACATACACCGAGGACTGAGATACAAATATGACAGACATACACAGGTGACAGAGATACACAGATGACAGAAATACACAGATGACAGACGTACAGAGATGATAGAGACACACATATAAAAGAGACACACAGATGAAAGAGATACACAGATGAAAGAGATACATAGATGACAGACGCAATAGATGATAGAGACACACAGATGACAGAGATACAAAGATGACATAGATACACAGATGACATAGATACACAGATGACAGACGTACATAGATGATAGAGACAAATATATAAAAGAGATATACAGATGACAGACGTACATAGATGATAGAGACACACATATAAAAGATATACACAGATAACAGACGTATATAGATGATAGAGACACACATATAAAAGAGATACACAGATGACAGACGTACATAGATGATAGAGACACACATATAAAGAGATACACAGATGACAGACGTACATAGATGATAGAGACACAATTATAAAAGAGATATACAGATGACAGACGTACATAGAGGATAGAGACACACAAATAAAAGAGATACAAAGATGACAGACGTACATAGATGATAGAGACACACATATAAAAGAGATATACAGATGACAGACCTATAAAGATGATAGAGACACACATATAAAAGAGATACACAGATGACAGACGTACATAGATGATAGAGAAACACATATAAAAGAGATACACAGATGACAGACGTACATAGATGATAGAGACACACATATAAAAGAGATACACAGATGACAGACGTATATAGATGATAGAGACACACATATAAAAGAGATACACAGATGACAGACGTACATAGATGATAGAGGCGCACATATAAAAGAGATACACAGATGACAGACGTACATAGATGATAGAGACACACATATAAAAGAGATACACAGATGACAGACGTACATAGATGATAGAGACACACATATAAAAGAGATACACAGATGACAGACGTACATAGATGATAGAGACACACATATAAAAGAGATACACAGATGACAGACGTACATAGATGATAGAGACACACATATAAAAGAGATACACAGATGACAGACGTACATAGATGATAGAGACACACATATAAAAGAGATACACATATGACAGACGTACATAGATGATAGAGACACACATATAAAAGAGACACACAGGTGACAGAGAGAGACTCATATCAGAGATATACAGAAAATGAGATAGATACAAAGATAACGGATACGAATATGGGAGATGCACAGATTATAGAAATACACAGATTATAGAAATACACAGAAAACAGGGATTCGTAGAGAGAAACACAGATAACATATATACATAGACAAGAGATATACTCTATAACAGAGGTACACAGATAAAAGAGATACACAAATCAAAGATGTACAGATAACATATAAACAGAAAAGAGAGATACACAGACAAGAGAGATAGACGGATAACAGAGGTACACAGACAAGTGAGAAACACAGATAATAGAAGTACTCAAATTAGAGAGACGAACAGCAAAGAAAGATACACATATGACAGAGATACACAGATAAGAGAGATGTCCATATAACAGAGATACTCAGATGCGAGAGATTCATAGATAATAGAGACACACAGATGATAAAAACACACTGATGACAGAGATATAAAAAAATGATAAATACAAATATACTAGAAATACACAGATAAGACAGATAAACATACAATAAAGATACACAAATAAGAAAGATACACATATGTCAGAGATACACAGATCAGAAAGATGTACAGATAACAGAGATACACAGATGCAAGAGATACACAGATGCAAGAGATACATAAATAATATAGAGATACACAGATGAGAAAAATACACTGATGACAGAGATACACAAATAAGATAGATATGCTAGAGATACACAGACGAGACAGATAAACAGATAATATAGATACACAGATAATAAAGATACACAGATACAAGAGACACAATATAACAGATATACACAGACATCATAGATACTCAGATGATAGAGTTACGCAGATGAGAGACATATACCGATTCCATAGATACATAGATGAGAGTGATACACTAATGAGAGACATACATAACAGACACAGGAATTAGATTCTAGATGTTCATTTCTGTTGTTCTATCTCTTGTCTGCTTGTTTGTCTGAATGTTGAATGTTTAATCAAGAATTGACCTCATAGTAATCAAGACACTCCCATAAGCGAGTCAACATCTTCAGCAGCAAGCGAAGAGTTCTAATTCCAATGGTACTAGTAACTGTCTGAATGTACATCCTTTGAGTGTTGGGCGTCTGCCTTATCCCTTGGTAACTCCTCGCAGCGCCATTATCCTCAGTGCCTCCGCACTGGTCACTCGACCCAAAGGATCGATATCTAGACTGTCATACATCAGTTGGTAGTACAAAACTGGCTAGTCTATCTGCCTGCTCGTTTCCCAACACACAAATAGGACCTGGAGAAAATATTAAAAGGGTGCTAACTACCCGTGACCTCTGAAGCGATGTTTGCCACTCTGCGTGGGGCATTCCTTCAACAGACGCTGTGAGTCAGTTTCAATTAGGAAATCTTTGTACAGCTGATTCTCAATCAAACGGAAGGCAGCAGTGACTGCTTCCACCTCCATTCTTAAACTAGACGTTAAGGTATCATATGCTGGGCTTTGTTGCTCTAAGCGACCTCGATTCACTTTTCCTATGAACCCCATGCACTTTATTCACCTCCTAAATCAGAGCCATCTGTACAGATAATCACATCACATGGGCGGTAATTGTCAAGAATCATTTGCTGAACTTCAGATTCTCAACACTAGTTGGCGAGTCCCTTCACTCACGACCTAAAGTGATTAGAACTCCTACACAAATCTGATTCCTGCTCGGATACATTGAACCACTCCTCTCCTCGCTCACATTTATCACGCCTGCACGCATGTCTAATTGTGTCTCCAGCTTGCGCCATCCAAGAACTTCCTCTTTTCGGTCTGTGACCCTTAGCTCTACCCAGGTCTTCAGGCAGGAGGTGCCTCTTGTCCGCAGCTACTCTGATCTGACTTTGCTTGCAGAATTTTAAGCCTATCTGCAACAGCAGGCAGTGCAAGTATATATCGCATACAAACTACCGGGCTTTGTCTTGTGCATCCCATAATAACCCGCATGGCTTCATTCTGTATGCGTTTAAGTTTCATTAGCATACTCTTTGATATGGTAAGCATTCCAAGTCCATAATCTTTTACCGACAGAATAACATGCTGTATGTATGTATGTATGTAACTACGTAGGTATGCATTTACACAATTATGTTTGTAAGTATGTACCCACATACGTGAGTATGTATACAAGTTTGTCCGTAAGTATATATGCAATTATATACGTAAATATGTTGGTGTGGATGGATGCCAGCAAATGCTCACCTGCGCCTGCAGGCAGGGTTGCAGCGAGTAGAAAGCCACCTGTCCGGTGATGTCCATGTCTGTGGCCATCTGTCGTAAACTGAACACGCTGCTGCCCACACTAGTGGCCTGGTCAACAGTGAACATTCAGGTTGTCAACATCGTCTTTGTGCACGTAGAGTTTGTCAACATCGTCTTTGTGAGCATAGAGTTTGTAAACATCATCTTTGTGAACATAGAGTTTGTCAACATCGTCTTTGTGCACGTAGAGTTTGTAAACATCATCTTTGTGAACATAGAGTTTGTCAACATCGTCTATGTGCACGTAGAGTTTGTAAACATCATCTTTGTGAACATAGAGTTTGTCAGCATCGTCTTTGTGTACATAGAGTTTGTCAACATCGTCTTTGTGCACGTAGAGTTTGTAAACATCATCTTTGTGAACATAGAGTTTGTCAACATCGTCTTTGTGAACATAGAGTTTGTCAACATCGCCTTTGTGCACATAGAGTTTGTCAACATCCTCTTTGTGAAAATTGAGTTTGTCAACATTGTTTTTGTGAATATAAAGTTTGTCAACATCGTCTTTGTGAGCATATAGTTTGTCAACATCGTCTTTGTGAACGTGGAGTTTGTGAAAACTGGGTTTGTCAACACTGGGTCTGTGACAGATGTGTATGTGAACATTGTCGTTGCCAACATTGTCTCTGTGAACGTTGTCTTTGCGAACATCGTTTCTGCGAACATTGGTTTGTGAAAACGGGATTTTTGAAGACTGGGTTTGTAAAGTTATGTTTGTGAACATCTTGTGTTTGTAAACATAGAATTTGTGATTCCCATGTCTGCGAACATTGTGTTTGTGAGGATTGGATTTGTAAATATTGAATGTGTGAACACAGTGTTTGTAAGCAATCTTTTTTGTGAACATCATGTGTGTGTGTAAAAAACGTGTGGACAAGCTACCTTTGAGGCAATCAACCAGTCTCGTAACCACACCCCACCACCCCGCACATAACCACCACCACCACCGACGGAGCAAGCCCCGGACACCTGCGGAGCAACTTATTCCTACCACAGCCACAACTTCTGGAGATGCAGCCTGCAGCAGCCGTCACCAACCTGGACCTGGACGTGCCGACGGACGCGTTTCCTGGAGGAAGGATACACCGGACAGGTAATACAATTATTGTGTCTTTGTCCGTTGCCGATGCGGCCTCCACGGCTGGCTGACCAGCGTCCTGATAGGCCCAGTCGGAGTGCCTATCCACGGAATAGCGGCGCTGTACCGCTACTTGAGGCCCACCGAGTGGTACCTCACCCTCACAGAAGTAGCTCACAGGACTCATTTCGATCTCCTGCACAATGTGCGGAAAACAGTGGAAGGTGTAGATGTTCTTCTAGAACATCTAGACAAAGTGAGAACAAAAATCTGCATCCATTGGATCCCAGTCACAGCCACGGAACAGACCGTGAAAAATATCATTGCTGGAATCACGGGAGACGAAGATCCCGAAACTTACCAAACAAAACACGGCATTGACAGATGGCATGCCTCGGTGAGGGAGACAAAACCGATCCCTCATTATGTCAACATGAGGAATCCGGCGCTCCCCGGCGGCAAGCACCAGCTCTGGGTCACTGTGCCAGGCAGAAGGACGAATTGTCCTCACTGCGGGCACAATGACCACTGGGCAAACAAGTGCCCTACAAGGAGGAGACGACCCGAGCCAGTTCATCCACCCCAGGAAGAGGCGGCAATCGCTACGCAACAGGAAGTGATTTCAAGCACGCAGTCCTCAACGGAAGATGAGGGCTCACAGACCAAAGGCAAGAAGCAGAAGAAAGTCAAAAAGCGAAGCCGCCAGAAGGCCAGCTCCAACGAAACGTCACCTACAGCAAAAAGAGAGAACAAAGAAATCCCAGAGGAAACGACAGCAGCTGCCACGAAAGAAGAGCGAAACAGCACCCCGAAAAAGAAGACAAGAGAAGCCAGAACTGGAGAAACGGAGGACAAAAACCATTGCTACTGGGAGATCCAGTGCAGCGGCTGTTACACGAAAACAGGGACATCATCACATGCAAAATGGGACCTCGAGTGCAGAGGGTGTCAGTGGCCCCTAGCAACAGCTAGCGACGCGGAATTACGCCTCGTAAGCGGACACGCTTCCCTCGCGGAGAAGTTTCCCATCAAAAGGACCCAGGAGAAGCTGGTCCTTTAAATTAAATTAATGGAGTCCCTCTTTTCTTTATTTCCCCCGCCCCAGCACTTTTTCCTTTCTCTCTTTGTTTTGTTACTTTTCCATTTCCTTTTTGTAATTTGAATAAAATTTGAATGCACTCACAAAACAACACAACAATAACACGCACAAACGGCAACGAATGTAAAAACAGACTTACAAAAACTACTAGCAACATACAAAACACAAACACAAAAAAAAAAAAAAAAATTTAAACATCGTGCATGTGTAAGCATTGAGTTTGTGAAAGTTGTGTTGCGAAAGTCATATGTGTGAACATTGCGTTTGTGAACATAAGGTAAGTGAACATTTGGTTTTAGAACACTGGGTTTGTTAACATTATGTTTACCTGACACACAGTACCAAACTGACAGACAGCACCAACCTGAAAGGTAGTACTAACCTGACAGACAGTACTAACCTGACAGACAGTGCCAACCTGTCAGACAGCACCAACCTGACAGACAGTACCAAATTGACAGACAGTACCAACCTGACACACAGTACCAACCAGACAGGCAGTGCCAACCTGACAGACAGCACCAACCAGACAGACAGAACCACCCTAACAAAAAGTACCAACCTGACAGACAGTACCAACCTGACAGACAGTACCAACCTGATAGACAGTAGCAACCTAACAGACAGCACCAACCTAACAGATAGTACCAACCTGACAGAGAGTACCAACCTGACAGACAGCACCAACCTGACGGACCGTACCAACCTGAGAGACAGCACTAACCAGACAGACAGTACTAACCTGACAGTCAGTACCAACGTAACAGACAGTACAAACCTGACAGACAGTTCAAACCTGACAGTGTCAACCTAACAGACAGTACCAACCTAACAGACAGCACCAACCTAACAGATAGTACCAACTTGACAGACAGTACCAATCTGACAGACAGCACTAACCTTACAGACAGTACCAACCTGAGAGAAAGCACTAACCAGACAGACAGTACTAACCTGACAGACAGTACCAACCTAACAGACAGTTCCAACCTGACAGACAGTTCCAACCTGACAGACAGTGCCAACCTGACAGACAGTACCAACCTAACAGACAGTTCTAACCTGACAGACAGTTCCAACCTGACAGACAGTGCCAACCTGACAGACAGTACCAACCTAACAGACAGCACCAACCTAACAGAGAGTACCAAGTTGACAAACAGTACCAACCTGACAGACAGCACTAACCTTACAGACAGTACCAACCTGAGAGACAGCACTAACCAGACAGACAGTACTAACCTGACAGACAGTACCAACCTGACAGACAGCACTAACTTGACAGACAGCACTAACATGACAGACAGCACCAACCTAACAGATAGTACCAACCTGACAGAGAGTACTAACCTGACAGACAGTACTAACCTGACAGACAGTGCCAACCTGACAGACAGCACCAACCTGACGGACAGTACCAAACTGACAGACAGTACCAACCTGACAGACAGTACCAACCAGACAGACAGTACCAACCTGACAGACAGCACCAACCTGACAGACAGAACCACCCTACCAGACGGTACCAACCTGACAGACAGTACCAACCTGATAGACAGTAGCAACCTAACAGACAGCACCAACCTAACAGATAGTACCAACCTGACAGAGAGTACCAACCAGGCAGACAGCACTAACCTTACAGACCGTACCAACCTGAGAGACAGCACTAACCAGACAGACAGTACTAACCTGACAGTCAGTACCAACGTAACAGACAGTACCAACCTGACAGACAGTTCAAATCTGACAGTGTCAACCTAACAGACAGTACCAACCTAACAGATAGTACAACTTGACAGTCAGTACCAATCTGACAGACTTCACTAACCCTACAGACAGTACCAACCTGAGAGACAGCACTAACCAGACAGACAGTACTAACCTGACAGACAGTATAAACCTAACAGACAGTTCCAACCTGACAGACAGTTCCAACCTGACAGACAGTGCCAACCTGACAGAGAGTACCAACCTAACAGACAGCACCAACCTAACAGAGAGTACCAACCTGACAGACAGTACCAACCTGACAGACAGCACTAACCTTACAGACAGTACCAACCTGAGAGACAGCACTAACCAGACAGACAGTACTAACCTGACAGACAGTACCAACCTGACAGACAGCACTAACCTGACAGACAGCACAAACATGACAGACAGCACCAACTGACAGACAGCACTAACCTGACAGACAGCACTAATGTGAGAGACAGTAGCATTCTGACAAGCAAACTGTCCTGACAAGCAGCACTAACCTGACAAACAGTCTAACCTGACAGTAGTACTATCCTGACAGACAGTACCAACCTCACTGATGTTAAAACTGTAAAAGCGACCTGGGTCGAAGACTGGTGGATGTTCATTGACGTCAGACACGATCAGCTCTTGGTGGTACTGAGGGAAAGAACGAAAGAACGAACTTTATTTATAAAGGGTAACAAATTAGTCATGCAAGCATGTATTAAATTCAGCTCTTTAAACGCCCAACTTTCACACAACAGTTGTAGGTTATCAATAAAGCATGTTATGTTTGAAAAAAACTGTATATTAATAATGTCATGTAAAAGCACAAAGTAATTGGTGGTAGAATGCACACACAGACACACACACATACACACACAAATACAGATGTCCATTCACTCACTCACTAACTCACAAACATACAACAAACCCATCCTACATACATACATACATACATACATACATACATACATACATACATACATACATACATACATACATACATACATACATACATACATACATACATACATACATACATACATACATACATACATACATACATACATACATACATACATACATACATACATACATACATACATACATACATACATACATACATACATACATACATACATACATACATACATACATACATACATACATACATACATACATACATACATACATACATACATACATACATACATACATACATACATACATACATACATACATACATACATACATACATACATACATACATGCATGCATGCATGCATGCATGCATGCATGCATGCATGCATGCATGCATGCATGCATGCATGCATGCATGCATGCATGCATGCATGCATGCATGCATGCATACATACATACATACATACATACATACATACATACATACATACATACATACATACATACATACATACATACATACATACATACATACATACATACATACATACATACATACATACATACATACATACATACATACATACATACATACATACATACATACATACATACATACATACATACATACATACATACATACATACATACATACATACATACATACATACATACATACATACATACATACATACATACATACATACATACATACATACATACATACATACATACATACATACATACATACATACATACATACATACATACATACATACATACATACATACATACATACATACACATACATACATACATACATACATACATACATACATACATACATACATACATACATACATACATACATACATACATACATACATACAAACATACATACATACATACAAACACATATACAGAATCTAGTGCAGACACACACACGCAGATACACAGACACACACAAAGATACACAAACACAGACACAGACACCGGGACAGACGCAGACACACTGACACACATACACACGCAGACACTGACACCGGGACAGACGCAGACACACTGACACACATACACACACAGTCACACACACAGACATTGGGACAGACACAGACACCAGAACAAACGCAGACACACTGACATACATACACACACAGACCTACACTGGTAGTAACACACAAATACACACATGCACTGATACATACATACACAAAATCATACATACACAGAATCATACAGATTAACCAAAAGAGAGAGGATCAGCTGTAGGGAAGATCATTAACAGTGAGAGACAACATTATCTGTAGCAGGGAAGATTAACTGCAAGAGAGAGGTTACATGTAGGAGACAACATTAACTGTAGGAGGGAAGATTAACTGCAAGAGAGAGGTTACATGTAAGAGCGAAAATTACACGGTAGAAGAGAACATTAACTATACAAGAGAATATCAACTGTAGGAGAGAACCTTAACATTGGGAGAAAAGATCAACTGTAGTAGAGAACATACATGTAGTAGATAAGACTGAATGTAAGAAAGAAGAATAAACTGGGGAAAAGAGCATTAAAAGTGGGAGAGAATGTTAACTAAATGTCTTCAGGTCTATACTGTTTACCCTAAGTATATACTGATTTCTCCAGGTATGTCTTGATGTCCCGAGGTCTATACTAATATCCTCACGTCAGCACTGATATCTCATGGTCTGTACTGATGTCCTCACGTCTGTACTGATGTCCTCACGTCTGTACTGATGTCTCAAGGTCTGTACTAATGTCCTCACGTCTATACTGATGTCCTCACGTTTGTATTGATGTCTCCAGGTCTGTATTGATGTCTCCAGGTCTGTACTGTTGTCTCCAGGTCTGTACTGATGTCTCCAGGTCTGTACTGATGTCTCCAGGTCTGTACTGATGTCTCCAGGTCTGTACTGATGTCCTCACGTCTATACCGATGTCTCTAGGCTCTGCATTGATGTTCCCCCGTCTTTACTTATGTCTCCATGTCTGTACTGATGTCTCCATGTCTGTACTGATGTCTCCATGTCTGTACTGATGTCTCCATGTCTTTACTGATGACCCTAGTTCTGTACCAATGTCCCCTTGTCTTCACTTATATCCCAGGTGTGCGCTTATAATCCCCTCTATTTAACGGTCTCTGTGTACTATGTATTGGTATTCCTATCCATTCTGGAACTTTTAAAACAAACATCTCCAGAACTGGACAACTATTTATGGAACTATACACAAAATCTCTAGAGCTAGACAAACATCTCCAGAACTGGACAACTATTTATGGAACTATACACAAAATCTCTAGCGCTAGACAAACATCTCCAGAACTGGACAACTATTTATGGAACTATACACAAAATCTCTAGAGCTAGACAAACATCTCCAGAACTGGAAAACTATTTATGGAACTATACACAAAATCTCTAGAGCTAGACAAACATCTCCAGAACTGGACAAATATTTATGGAACTATACACAAAATCTCTAGAGCTAGACAAACATCTCCAGAACTGGACAACTATTTATGGAACTATACACAAAATCTCTAGAGCTAGACAAACATCTCCAGAACTGGACAACTATTTATGGAACTATACACAAAATCTCTAGAGCTAAACAAACATCTCCAGAACTGGACAACTATTTATGGAACTATACACAAAATCTCTAGAGCTAGACAAACATCTCCAGAACTGGACAACTATTTATGGAACTATACACAAACTCTCTAGATCTAGACAAACATCTCCAGAACTGGACAACTATTTATGGAACTATACACAAACTCTCTAGAGCTAGACAAACATCTTTAGAACTGGACAACTATTTATGGAACTATACACAAAATCTCTAGAGCTAGACAAACATCTCCAGAACTGGACAACTATTTATGGAACTATACACAAAATCTCTAGAGCTAAACAAACATCTCCAGATCTGGACAACTATTTATGGAACTATACACAAACTCTCTAGAGCTAGACAAACATCTCCAGAACTGGACAACTATTTATGGAACTATACACAAACTCTCTAGATCTAGACAAACATCTCCAGAACTGGACAACTATTTATGGAACTATACACAAAATCTCTAGAGCTAGACAAACATCTTTAGAACTGGACAACTATTTATGGAACTATACACAAAATCTCTAGAGCTATACAGAGTGCCTTTCAATTTAAACCCTAATAAAGATACGTGACACTAGCACCATGGAACTGGACAAACATTATAGAGCTAGACATACTTAAGTAGAATTTGACAAACAGGTATAGAACTGGACATGTCTTTCTAGAACCGTTTAAACATGTATAGAGGTGGACATACATTTTTAGAGACCTGCACACACTATTGCTAGACCTGTACACACTATTGGTAGACCTGTACACACTATTGGTAGAACTGTACACACTATTGGTAGACCTGTACACACTATTGGTAGAACTGTACACACTATTGGTAGAACTGTACACACTATTGGTAGAACTGTACACACTATTGGTAGAACTGTACACACTATTGGTAGACCTGTACACACTATTGGTAGAACTGTACACACTATTAGTAGATCTGTACACACTATTGGTAGACCTGTACACACTATTGGTAGAACTGTA